TAATTATCTTTTGAGTTTGAGGACTGAAACACTGACAGCCTTTGTAATTGGGAGCATATCCAATGAAGATACATGTTGGGGTGGTGGGTAAGAGTTTATTGGAGATGAGGGGTTTTTGCCATTGAAAGCATGGGCATCTAAATGTGCGAAGATGTGCAAAGATGGGTGGTGAATGATATAAAAGTTCCTATGACGATTTGTAATTGAAAGTCTTAAGAGGGCATGCAATTGATGAGGTAAGTTGCTGTAGTTAAAGCTTCAACCCAGAATTTTGGTGAAAGATTAATGGTTAGTAAGAGAGTTCTTATGGTTTCGATGAGGTGCCTATGTCTGCGTTCGACAATCCCATTCTGTTGGGGTGTATAGGGACAATTGAGTTGGTACTGGATGCCTTGTGAGAGAAGGTATTGTTTGAGATGTTGAGATAAGTATTCTCCACCTCCATCACAGCGTAGAGTTTTAATATTCTTGCTGAAGTGATTTTGAAAAAAAATTGTGAAAGGTTATTATAATTGTTGTAGTTTTTGCTTTGGCACGCATTGGGAATCTCTTGTTTTTTCATCAATTAAAGAAAAGTAGTACTTGTTACCTTGTAAAGGAATAGTGGGTGCAGGACCCCACATACATCAAAATGAAGCATGGTAAAGGTTGTTTTTGATCTAGAGGATGACTTAGAGAAACATAGTTGATGACATTTAGCTGACGTACATTCATTACAAAGACAATTCATAGTAAATTTGGCTACAGTTCTATCAAATTTGGAGATGTGAGTTGTGGCTTCTAGATGAGGATGTCCCAAGCATCGCTGCCAAAGTTGAGAGGGTGGAATGGAGAGATTGTGGACAGCGGAAAGAGCTTTGATTAGATAGAGACCATTTTTAGATGGTCCTTAAAGAATTGATTTTTTTTGTCCTCCGATCCTTGATAAGAAAACCAAATTTAGTGAAGATGATGGTGCAATCAGTATCAGAAGTGAGTTTGTGGACAAATATGAGGCTATGAGCAAGATTGGGTGAGTAGAGGAGGTTTGGTAGAATGAGCTTACTTTGGGCTGTGGGAAGTAACCATTAACCGGTGTATGTAATGGAATGATTTGAACCATTACCAACTAATATGGTGTCATTCCCTTGATAAGGAATAGGCTGTTGTAGGTTCTTCAAGGTGGATGTAGCTCCACTATCAAGTATCCATTCTTTTGGTTTTGTGGTGGTTAGGAGAGTTGTTTTGGATTTTGGAGATGGATAGACGTTGAAGTTGTTTCAATGCCAGCACATTATTGCAATGTGTCCAACTTTGCCGCAGATTTGGCATGCATTTCCCGAGGTGGTGGAATAAATGTTTCTGCCTCCCCTTGCTGGTTGAAGGTTAGCGTGGTTGCGTCCGCCTCTATTGTTCCAATCACGCCCTTTGAAGGGGCCTCGCCTACCTTTGTTAGTGGAAGAATAAAGTGCAATTGCTGCATCATTCACTTCTTTTGCTTGCTCGGTAGCCAGATTTGTTTCTTTGTTGCATAATATGGAGTAAAGTTCATTCATATGAAAAGGTTATGACCTTGCTTGGAGGGTTCTCTTGAATGACTGATAGGTTGATGGTAAGATATTGAGGGTGTGTAAGATAATATCCTTTGAATCTGTGTCCTCTGGCAGTGACTATATTGGGATTTAATGTTGAGTAGACATTGAGACATTGTGAGATCCTTTATTGAGATGTTATGTAGAGTGTTTCTTAATTGAAGGACTCTAGATCGATTGGTTACTTGAAGGCGTTTGGCAAGTGTGCTCCAAATCTCCGTCGATGATTCAGGGTTGAGAATGCAGGGAAGGATGGATGGAGAAATCATTGAGTATATAGCAGCAGATAGATTTTGATCAATCAACAACCATTGAAGAAAATTAGGATGGGTAAAAGTTACCATCTGGATGTTGAAGTTGTTTAGGAGGACAGATTTTGGTCCCATCCAAGAAGCCATCGAACCCGTTGGCTTTAAAGAACTTATATATTTGAAACCTCCATGTTAAGAAGTTGTCAATTGATAGTTCGATGTGTGCAATTGTTTATATAGATGACATCAGAAATTTAAGAACTTGAGGGATTGCTATGTGATTCATGTAGGATGACTATGAGGCTTCTAATCGATTGGATGATGAGTTTGTGGTTTGAGACATAATTGCAGAAGCAGGGATGAAGCTTGATTCACTTTTTGTTATGAGCTGAAGCGATGAACTACCCTCAGAACCTGCGGGTTTCAGATGCAAATGGAGATGTTGAAGTTGATCGGGATGTCGGCCCAAAAGAGCTTTTCTTCCTGTAAAGCAAAGCCGAATAAAAAATCGACACACTCGACCTAGAGCTATGATACCATGATAAGCTTTGGTATAAGTTATAGTGATGAGCGGCCCTTTAATTGTTAGCAAAAACAAAACTAGGAGGAAGAAGAAGAAGAGATTTTGTATGGCACATTGAAGTATTTTTCCCATTGATTCATTCACAGCAACTGCGTATGAATATATAGATGTAAGAAGAAAACTCTAGATGGACCAAGTGGTCCCAAATTTTACAAAGCAAATATGGCACATTGATGTATTTTTCCCATTGATTCATTCACAGCAACTGCGCATGAATATATAGATGTAAGAAGAAGACTCTAGATGGACCAAGTGGTCCCAAATTTTACAAAGCAATGATATAGGAAAGTGGAGAATAACAATTGATATGGTGGTTATGATATGTTTGTTAAAAACTAAGTTTTTATCGTAGTAAGCTGCAAAATATTGTTCTGGAGAAGATAATGCAAATGTTTGAAACAAAACAGTATATGCTTCCTATAATCATTTTTGTTGGCCTTGTTCAACCATTTGAGGTCAAGTTAGTGAATCCTTCTCTATTCACTTCTACCAAGTGATTCTTGAAGTAGTCGGTTAGAGTTAGATTACCTATGAATTGCCACCATCTTTAATAGCAAGGGATCTGAATCTCAAACGGTAGAAAACATGGGTGATGCCGAGTTTAGTCTATGAAAACTTCATCTAGAAATTTTAGCCGATTTGCCTTAGTCTACTTTTTCCACGTATATATATCACCTTGGTTTTAGACACCTATATTAAGTTATAGTGGCAATTACATACGCACAACCCAATTCCTATGTATTTACTTATCTATACATTTATACCATACAAATCTTCATATCACATCAAAAATTCCACCATCTCAACTTCTAAAAAGCAACATCTTTTCATGCATAGGTAAGGTGGCATCATAATTGAAGTTTAGGTTTTAGATATGTAAATACATAGGATTTGAGTGGTATGCATGTAAATCTTCCTTAGTTATAATGTTTTATATCATATTTCTACATCTTAGAAAAGCCTTGTTAGATGCAGTTGAGAGAGAGAGTCCCACATTTAAAGTGAAATGAAGTGTTGGGGATATACTAGTAGTGTCCCATACATGTTGGATTAAGCTTTTGAGTTGATTACCATCCATTATCCTATTGGAATCGACTTAGGTCCATCCTCCTGAACACCTGTCATGGATTTCGCAACGAACTTCACTAGTACCCATTATGTTTGTTTGTATTAGAATCAGTAAATGTTTTACTTTCAATTTATATATATATATATATATATATATTTCAGTAGCCCATCAATCTCTTTTCAAGTTAAGTCTTTAAGCTTTAAGCTTTTCATAAATTTTTTATTAGGAATCATCGTGCTATAAAGCACCTGATAATTGTTCATTAATTCTTATCCAATAATAATCCCCGAAAATTTTCTCTATTCAAGCATAGACCTAAATCTAATTTGCTATCATTAATCCAATAATCCGAGTGGTCTACATAAGCTAAAAATTTGTGCTAAATGACATTCTTTCTCAGCAACTATATAGAGAGACTGAAGATAAAGAGGTTGTTCTTCCAAAATTAAGAAATCATGCTGGCTTGACATGTACATTGTCATAAGCATTTTCCATCTCCTATTTGTAACATGTTGCATAAAATAACTTCAGAACGATTATCATCAGAAAGTTTTATTTTATTTTATATTTTTTTTTGGAGAACTACCATCCAAACTTAAAAAAGTATTTTTTGAATTGCCTTTATTTGATATTATTACTTTTTGATTTATTTTTTTTTATTTTTAAACATTTTTATTATGCCTAACTTACGTATTAACGATTCTTTTAATTTCTAATGCATAGATCCTTGTTGTCCTAATTGAAGTTTTGTAAAATAATTGGCGCAGCTGCAGAATAAAGAAAGGGAAAATACAGATTAAAGGAAGTGAATGAGTATACTTCTGCAATCAAATATCAAAAAGTGTCCTCCATGGTTACAGCAGTAGTCATATATAATGTGTCTCCATTACACTACAACCGTATAAAGGAATAGGCTAAACTGAAATGAGTTGTAATATTCTGCAGTAAGTATTATATAATACTAATATAGAATTATTAGATATAATAAATAGCTGTTTATAATAGGATATAACTGCATCAATTATCCTCTGACTAATTTATATTTAAAGAATTTCTTTTTTACCACCCAATCTTAATTCGAGGGCTTATATGCTTGTTTGTATATTTTAATGTTTTTATAAAATATATCAAATTGATAATTGTTATTATCTCACCCATTATAATTGTATAATTGCGGTTAGTCTTTGTTATAGTAATTATGAGCCTCTAATCTTCTAAATTTTTTCACAATTATATGAACTTTTCATTCTATTATGAAAATAGAAGTTCTATTGATATGACATAACTTTTGACACAAATTATCGAACTCAAAATGCTTAGAAATTTGGGCTTAGTCTTCAACGAATTTTTCTGAGGGTCAAACTCCAATTTTCGTCTGTTTAGTCAGATGACAACCTCGTTAGTATATGAAACGTCCCAAGCAATATCTCCAATAACTACTGAATATATCATCATACAGATTGATATGGTGAGTTCTTCCTCTGCATTCATATTGGTTAGTGACACGCCATTCTCTTCCTACGCAGGTGACGAATCTATGAAAGACGGTGCCACAAGAGCTGCTCTGGGTGAAGATGCAGAGGTAAACCTTTCCCAGTCTTAAATATAAAGGGGCATGTACATACATGGTTGTAAGCAAGCCGAGCTTGAGCGAGCTTAGGCTTAAGCTCGTGTTCGGCTCGTGTTCATCTCAAAATTGGCATGTTAAAATTAATTTTAAAAAATAGATGTGGGGTGTTGGATTGGAATGTGCACCACTTCTGTGTAGTAGAAGACAATATCACATGAACGCACGAGCTATTCTAATTTAAACTTATATCTAAATATATATGTTATATTATTATATAAATAATACCTATAATTTACTTATTTCGAGCTAAAAAGAACCGGACACGATCGGACAATGGGTTGTTCGTGTTCGGCTCGTTTACAGTTCGAGCTTAACAAAATTTGTTTTTGTTCGACTCGTTTACTTAACGAATAATTTTGAACACGAGCTACTTAATGAACAGATCACGAGCTGTTTTGGAACAACAAGCTTTTTTTATAGCCCTATTTACATACATTACACACAAATCTTATGCGCTTACATATCTCACACCTAAATTTTCATATTTACACACACCACCCATCTATATCACATCAAAAGTAGCCCTATTATCACTTTTTTAAAAGTGAGATACAGCCTCTCATGCATAGGTTTAAAACAAAACACCAAAGTGCTATATATATATATATATATGAAAGTTTAAGTGTGAGATATGCAAATACTTAAAATTTGTGTGCTATATATGTAAAATTCCAACCATGTCCAAGCAGTGAACATCTATTTTTTTTGCAGTGAATTAATTAGGGACAACTAGAAGCTCTTCTGGAGTACAAAACCCCACAAGGGTTTGATTTCTGAAGCCTTGTTCTCACTCCTGTTGTCTTCATTGAGATTTATGAATGCATATTAAGTTTTTATCAGCCCGACTGTTAAAACAAGCATCTTCTCTTTCGGCATTTGCTCTGTTTTGAGGATCATTTTTTTCATCTTCAATCGTTTTCAGTCCGTCTTTAGTTCTGTTTTGCTGTTGCTATTTAGACGTCAGCTCTATTAATGCATTAATTATGTTTAGCAAGCCCCTCTCACCCATTTTTGCCCGTGATTTTTTGGGATGGGGGATTTACATACTTACCACCCAATTTTTTTATATATTTACATTCCTAATGTCTGAACTCTGCATTTTATATTATATCACCCACTATTTTAACTTTTAGAAAGGAATATATGTAAAAATTTAAGTTTGTGTGTTAATGTGTGGTTTTCATGATTTGGGAGACAAAATTGTAGTAGTCCTCTGAAGCTAGGTTGATTAGATTTGCAGATCTAGTTCTCTATCAAATCTTGGATATCTATTTAAATAATGGCTTGAGGATTTGTCATTTAAGGAAAAAGAAAAGAAAAAATTGATATTAATGAGTGGTTGAAAGATAATCAGATGAAATGTGAGATATTATTAAGAATGCACATCTTTCTACATCAATTTATATGGCTACTTTTGAGTGGAAAAATATTACGTCAGGAGTCCGAACGTAGAGTTATGTTCGGATTGCAATAATCGCTCTGTTATGGGAATATCCTGTTTTGTTATAGGAATATTTCATCAACGTTATTTGTAGAAAATGAAGTGTTATTGAAATATTCCCCCATGTTGATTTGGGACTGTTATTCCAATAACACATGGAAAACTGAAATTAACACGAATATGTCGAATAACAGTTTCAAATTAAGTAACACGGAAACATTTTAATAAAGTTGCAAAGTAATCGAATAACATTACATAATATTCAAATAATACTTTTATTTTTTATAAATAACGTTGATGGAATATTCTTATAAAATAGTGGGATATTTTTATAATACAACGCTATTAAAATTCGATCGTACCTCTACGTTCGGAGTCTTGACGCGCTTCATCTGAGTTGACAATATGAGAATCGACGTTACATATCGCTTCAAGCTCGGTGAATGGAACACTCAAATGTATTTTTTGATCGCATATATGTTTAATTTCTTTATAATTCATTTCTAATCTATAGTTAAATATAATAATACTAATAATAATAATATCATGTGATATTGATGGAGATGAAGAACCCCTTGCCTGGTTAAAAGGTGAGCAAAAACATAAAATGTTATAAATGTAAATATCAAAAGTGTACATACATACCACAATTCTTAAAAATTTACATATCCACTAGCACGTGAACTTTGATATTTACATGCACACCGCTCGAGCCTCTATTATCACATCAAAATTGATATAAATGTAATTATCAAAAGTTTAGGTTTTAGATTATATAAATAAATAAGAATTGTATTAATATCATAATACATAAAACATAATTAAGAAGATTTGCATACATACCATTTAAATACTATGTATTTACATATCTAACAGACTAACACCAAAACTTCAATTTTTGCATGCTATCAGATTAACCCATGCATGAAAAGATGCACTTCACTTCTCTGAAGTTAAAATGATGGTATTTTTTTATGTGATATGAACAATTTGGGTGATACCAATCTAAAAAGTTAAAAGCTCAAGGGTTAGATATGTAAATACATAGGAATTGTGTGGTAAGCTAAAAAATGCCCCCCTTTTTTTTAATCTACTGAGCGAACTGATTGGTCAAAAAAAGAAAATAAAACACATAGCAATTACATACAGACCACCCTAAACTTGCTATTTATGGTCCCATATTTTTCATTCTTATCAAATTCTCAATAATTTGATCGTCGCACGTATAATTACATTGGTTCGGCAGTTCAAACAAAATCATGTGGGTGGTAAATTTATAAATATCAATGTTTTGTGTGCTCTGTATGTAATTATCCCAAAAATTTAATCCATAATAAACTTTTATGTGCCAATGATGGTGAAATAGTCTGCCCTTTTGATCTGACAGAAAAATGAAACATGAACTAATCATAACTCAACTCCATTAAAGTTCTGACAAGTTCTTCCTAAGTTCTGAAGGCTCCCAAACATTTAAAAAACCCTAAACAAAAGGAGAAGAAGATGAAGACAATGAGAAAATTCTTTCCTAAGATATAACAGCTTCTAAACCTGTTCTGAAGAATAAAACAAACATGATTTCTCTCAAAGATGAGTTATGACTCCACAAGCTCTTCGCAACAAACAGAATTCGCTCTAGTTTTCGCCCCTCATCCACCACGTTAGTGTGATCCTGCTCGAGGGCTGCGCGGCCTCACCGGCGTCTTCGACGGACTAATCCTGCAGAGTTCAGAAATCGATTCGATGTCAATCATGGAGCTGAAACTACAGCGACAAATGGAGATGGTTTGATTCATAAAATTGAGGATGATGATGATGACGACGACGAAGAACAAATGTTATTGATTGGAGAAACTAACCTGATTTGAAGAGATCCGAGGAACATGCCGCTGCAGTTCAGTGCCAAAATGGCGCTCGAAGCCTGTAATAAAGAGATTGAATCATGAATTTTGCATGGCACATAACTCCCATAATGAATATATATAT